ACTTCAAAAATATTTTTTAAAAAAGTATGTTGTGGGGGCTGGGGTTGTAACTCAGTGGTAGAGCRCTTGCCTCGCACGTAGGAGGTCCTGCATTGTCTCCTCAGCACCACATGAAGATAAATAAATAAAGGTATTGTATCCATCTACAACTACAAAAATTAAAAATAAATAAATAAATAAAAGTATGCTGTGGCTCTCCTAAGTATGCTCTCCTTCCTAATCATCATGTGTGCTGCTTCCCCCTCTGCTTCTTCCCTCTCAATTCTGTGGATTGAGACCTCTGAAACCATTAACATTCTTCCCATCCTAGGCCAAATGATCTGTCCTTCMTTTGGCTCACTGACCACAGGAATGAAGAAATCCAGACGAGGGAGCTGATACCAGCAGATCTAAGAAACAGCTCTCTTTTAAGGCTACCATTTGTATATGAATTATGACTGCTGGTATGCATACCTGGAAATCAGCCTTTGTGTCCTCTGTTTAAAAGCTCTCGGCTACACCTGATAGAATTTCAACAGCCTCTGAGAAATGAGTCCATTGCCTTCTCATTTGCTAACGAATCAATAAAACTTCTTTTTTCCTTTTTCTCAAAACAACAACAACAAAACCCAACCAAACAAACAAAAAACTGCTGTGGAACAAGCCAGCATACACTAACACCAAATGGCAAAAGCTAAGCCATTTCTGACCTATTTGCAGAGATAAGCAGTGAACTCATTACAACAATAATTTATATTAACACCCCAAAGGAAATATGTATGAATTGCCCCTAAAGGTAGCCTAACTGATGCTATTATGGAAATATATTCCCAGGGGGAATGGGTCATCAAAGTAAAATTTGAACTGGAGGCCAAATATTTTGCAATGTTAAATTTAGTTCATTTTAAWTTTTTTWAATTTGATGATTATATTAATGGAATGTAGAGCATAAAATTAAAATCATAAATAATTTCAAATAGAAGTAAGATATTTGTCACTGAACAATGGGTTTGGGGCCTTGTCAGAAAAAACAGAACTCAGTTTAACTCAATTTAGCAATGAAATCTATGTTCATAAAGTGACCCAGTACAGATGAAGAAGAAAATACACATAATTAAGATGTGTGGCTTAGCTGAGAATAAGATAGTAATCACAGAGAACATAGATAAATGATACGGTAGAAATACACATAGTATTGCTTAAAGATAGGTATGATACCAGTATCTTATGAACATAGATGCAGCAGAGAAAAAGATATTACTCTTAACTCTTATATGAACATTAAAGTGTCTTGTACATAATTTATGAGAAATATGAAAAACAGAACTTACAGGCATGAATTAAAATGATTAATGGCTTGAAAATAGGTGATAGGAAGACAGGCTAAATGAATGTGATCATTATCCGGTAGAACAGAAGTCAGTGGGATGACTTCATCTTTCTAATTTATAAAGGAATATTATGCAGATGGCGGCCAGCTGTTCTTCATCTCCACTGAGGACTAACCAAAGGAAATGGGTCTAAATGTYGGCTGGTGGGAGTTAGGTTAAATATGCAAAACTGTTTCCTGACAGCAAGAGTTGTAAAATACTGAGCAATTCCTGAGAGGCACTGTAGAATCTCCTTCCCTGGTTATCTCTTAAGAACATAAAGAGCTTTACCATCTGCCAGCAATGAGTACACTGCAGGTTTGCAAAGTAGCAAAGAAGAATAGACTATAACTCAAAAATCCCGTGATATTTGCACCCAAGTAGACTTCCACGTGCTTGTTTTTGTTTTTGTAACTTTTTTGGATAAATGATGGTTAGTGCTTGAGAATTTTACTTATACCACTACATTTTTTCTACAGAAGGGGGAAACATTATGTTCTACTTCATTTAAGAATAAATGTGGCTCATTTTTATTAGCCCCTAAGAGCAGTTCAGCTTTATAGGACTTTTAGACATAATTAAATATGGGTCTATTCATCATTCAAGAGGATATGCTGGCAATTTATGTTTCAATATTTTATCATCCTATAGCTGGATCACTGTTTCCAGGAAAGCTGGATCAGTACATTTTCATACTGCAAAAATCTTACAACTGCCAATAAAAATGAGGGTTGAGACTGACTCCCAGCAACAAGAAACGTGTTTTATCTTCATTTTGCCTGTATTAAGTTTTTATCATTCTCTTGAAAGAAGAGAAGATAAAACCTAACCATGTCCCTGAGCATAAGAATTTATCTCTGTAGATCCATTCTTCTTGACTGAAGAGATCAAGCAAGGAAGCATGTATATGCAGGAAAAATTAATAAGCATTTAGTGTGAAATTCTAAGTTTTAAGGAGACAGTTATTTTATTTTATAGTTTTAGTGCTTAGTTTTATGGTTTTTACAAATAAGTTTATGAAATAATATGGGATATTTCTGCTTATGCAAAAGTATTATGCTTAACTTTGGATTGTAAGAACTTTCCAAACCTATAATAATAATGACTTTGGGAACTTAAGTTGAGATATATATATATATATATATATATATATCTCAAGTAGATCAAGTTGAGATATATATATATATATATATCTCAAGTAGATCAAGTAATCTCCCTCAGGGTTCTGTAATGGTTAATAACTAGAGAAGTCAGACAAGATCTTAGAAAATCTGTGGTCAGAAGTTCTCCTCAAACTCTGTGTTTTGGGAACACATTCTTTATCCAGATATATATTAATAATACTTCCTCTGAAGCCAATGTTAAACATGATATTCTTGCATAAGCAAAATTGTAAAAACAGTAAAACTATACCCAATATAATTGTCTCCTTAAAAATTTAGAATCAGATATTAAATGTTTATTAGTTTTTCCCACATGCCTGCCACACACCAACAGCAGAGGTCTGAATTTAGCAGTATCTCAAATCTCTGATGTCATTCTTCTTGAGAATGTTTATGTAATGAACAATCTTGGAAGAYAGCAATGAGTCTCTTCTGGGGCAAAGATTAGGCATATGTTCTTTTCAACATGAAAACTTAGGTTTCACTAAGCTTAGGGTTTCTTTCCTACAACACAATCCATTCCATGTGCAGGAACCATCTTGCCCTCTTTGAGTTGCCCTATAAGAATTGATTCTCAGGGAACTGGCACTTCAAATGCCATTCACTGGCTATTGACATTGGCGTGAGTAATAAACTGTTTTTCGTCTCTGACCTAGGTGTCAGAGATGCATCTTTGAAACTGCATCCTGCATTCTTGAAACTAGAGCAGGGAGGGAAGCCCAATTTGTTTACTGGCAAGAGGGTAAATCTCATAACCTTTGCAGTTTGTGAGAGTTTATTCCTCTACAAGTTTCATTCATAATCTCAGACTGATACCTTGTACTAAATAGAATCATTTATAAAGTCAACTACTACCAACTATGTAAAATTAGAAGGAAGGAAGAAAGAAAAAAAATGTAATGGRTTACATATACCTCTACCATACATGATAAGGCAAGATGAAATATGGGTAACTAGTAAAACCCTCACTTAAGCAACTGATTAAAGCCCAAATTTTGTATGCATGACTTCTTTCTCTAGTATCCATTTTACAGTCTCTTTGCCTTTGGCTGCATTTCAGTTGGTGTGATTTCTTTACCTAATGTGATGATTCAAAATACATAATGGTATTTATGTATTAGAATATATGTCTCAAAATGGATGAAACTCATAAATATAAAGGTAGTTGATAAAGTGCATCACAGAAGAATGCACATAGTACAGTATCATTTACACTAAAACTAAGTAATATTTTTAGGAATGGTAGTGCTCATCTATAATCCCAGCAACTCACGAGGCTGAGGGTAGGCAGGTCCCAAGTTTGAGCCCAGCCTCAGCAACTTAACCAGACCCTATCTAAAATAAAAAATAAAAAGGGATAGGAATATAGGTTAGTGGTAGAGTGTCCCTGGGTTCAATCCCCAGCACTGCAAAAAAAAAAAAAAAAGAAAGAAAGAAAAGGAAAAAAGAAGCACTATATTTAGGGATCATATATCTCTCTATATATGTACACATATATATCAAAACTATATTTATAAAGATATATATATATATATAGCAATACTATAAGGACACAAAAACAAATGAAATAATTATAAACACAGAAATAAGAACAATATTATCTCTGGGAATAAAGGAAAATGTTCACACAGTCTTCAAGAGTTAAATGAAGATCAGTAGACGGTAAGTAGAGAATTAAGGGGGTTGGAGGGAAGGAAGGAAAGAAGAAGAACTGGGGAATAAAATCAGCCACATTATGCTATATACATGTATAAATTATCATGATGAATCCCACTTTATGCATAATTTTAATGCACTGATGAAAAAAATATATATACATATAAATAAACAGAAAAAAGGTCAAAGAATAGAGGGAGGGGAATAGGGAAAGGGAGGAGTGAAGTACTGGGGAATGAATTGAAGCTAATTTTATGTGCATATATGAGTATTTCACCATGGATCCCACTAATATTTAAAATTTACTAAGAAAACATTTTAATAAAAGATTGTGTTCTATTTGTCAGGGTGGGTGGTGTGCATAGATATTGGTTTTACTAATATTTTTATGGTGAAATAATATATATTTAGAATTAACCAACTGGGCCGTGTTTAGATGATTTCAATTTTCTTGGCAACATCAAAGCATCATAATCAGGAATGAGTTGACCAAATGCCTTCCCCTCCCTACCAGGCCTGCTCAGAGTGTTGACCTTGGCCACATCAATGTCACAGAAYTGCTTGCTTCACTTTTAGTGCCATGTTGGTCAAAGGGACTGTTTTTTAATATTTTAAAATAAATGTATATATTAGACATAAAAGTGATCTTTCCACTCTAGCCACAGAAAATCATTGTAAAATAAAAGTTCTTTTCAATGTTCTTACCATTTTTTCCATCTCTTAAATTTTTGGCTATATTAATTTAAAATAAAACAAAACAAAAACTTCTAGTTACAGATCTGAAGCTTATTTGAAATATCCTTAAAAGAATTATTTTTAATGTTTTACTTACTTGTTCCTTTGTAGATATMCTCTTGCTCTCTGTATACTAAACAGCTTTCCTGCAGTAACAGTTAAGATATAAACACAGTAAGTAATAGGGAATGAGACCTGGGTCCCATTTTAGACACAAGTTTCATTTTCGTTTGTCTTTTCCCTTTTTGATACAGAGCCACCTGCTGGCAGGAGAGCATTAGTTAACCTTGAAAATATTTAACAATGCAATAGGGTTGAAATTTACAGGGAAGTAATAATGATGTACCTCAAAAACGGTTTCCACTTTTTACTCAGAGTGAGACTGTTAATGACACCAAAAATGTTCATGTTAAAATGAACGAAGCAGTCAAGGGAAGGATTTTTTTTTTTAATTGGACTTTCTCACAGATCAATTTGAAATGTTGATCCGAAACCCTCATTAAGAACTAAGAGGCTGAAGATACAGTAGGGAGGAAAATAAGTTCATTCTGTAGGGTTCTTAAAAGCTAAAGGATTTCTGAGCATGGGTAGAAAACTGATCAAGACAAGAAAAGGGGACTTTCTTTTTTTAATGATTTTTTTAATTTATATATGACAGCAGAATGCATTACAATTCTTATTACACATATAGAGCACAATTTTTCATATTTCGGGTTGTATACAAAGTATATTCACACCAATTCGTGTCTTCATACATGTACTTTGGATAACTCCTCAGACTCATCAGGCAAGAACGAGGAGATGGAGAGTTGATTGTTGTAATTTTATCTGGGCTGAAAGGGAAATGCAATAGCAGCCTAAGGCATGAAGTACTCCAGAGAAAATGTGAACCAGTTAAGCAAATAAAAAAGCAAGTAGCCTAAGGAAGCATAACCAGGATTTGGGACCATAGTGAAAGCCCAGTTGAAGTTGGTGTTCATAAACTTTCTGATGAAATTAATAGGCTCCGATTTGTGATTTTTCTCCAAAATTACTGTTTTCAGATATAGATATGCAAAAGTTAAAATTGGGGGTTGATTATTTTAATACATTAGTTTTCATGAGACAGAAACGACAAGGCAGAGACAGTTCATAGCACTGACAAAATTATTCTTAGGATTATGGACCATGGAAGATATGCGATGAATAGTATTAAAGGTAGGCTGAAGATATAAAAAGGGAGACTGGATTCTTATTGAAGGGTCCACTAAAGTCAGAGGAGTGTTGAAGGGAGAGAACTTGAAGAAGTAAGCCAGGAAGAGGAAAGATGGTGGTGAGAGTGCTCAATGCCTAAGCTATTGATTTGGAATATCAATAATTCTGTGGATTTTGTGGATTAAAACATCCATCATGTGGCTGTGGAGAGAGAGCTGAGAGTAGGAAAGGCCATGAGGAAAGAGTCAAGAATTGAAAGGAAATCATGGATATAGAAAGCATCTTCGAGGACAGCAATTGGGCAGGGAGAAAGCTGTCAGGTGCCAGAGTTTTGATAAACATAAGAGATTGTTCAAGTGATAAATAAAGTGAGCTAATAAAGAAAATTAACTGAGTTGCATGAGCCTCTAAGAACCAAGATTCCTTTCCATAAGAGACGGGGTGGATAATGATCTGGGAGATGTAAGAAGGAGAAAAGATTCAAAGAATCACAGTCATCACTCCCTTGGCAGCTAGAGAACACCAGTGTTGCAATAAGGCCAGTGGAGGTAGCACGTGGAGAAGAGCAGGTTGTGCTAATGATGGAGTAGTAGTTCTAGGTATTTGCAGCTGGAGATGGGAGGTGGAAATGAAAAGGAATGCATCACTCACAATCTGCTTGGCCTTTCTATTTCCTGAAGGATTTTTCCTTTTTTTCAAACTGAAGAACTAAGTTAAGGCTCTCTTTTTTTTTAATCAACTACTTACTGTTACTGAAATAAGTTCATTTCTGAAATAAGAATGCATTGCTCTCTAAAACTAGTTCATAACAGACATAATAATTATCTTAGAGATTTGTAATAATGAAAAGCAATTTAATTATGTGTATATATCCATGTAAGTCATCATTAAAAATAATTGATGATGGTAGAAGAGCACACTGTGGAATATAAAATAAATAGAAAAATAAAATCATGACAAGAAAATGTAGGATAGTGGGATGAAGGCAAAGGTGAAGCTGATTTGCTAGAAATCATAAGTTCTTACACAAATACTGGAGTTAAGCCACAAATTCTTTGCTTTCTAGAAAGAAATATGATGGATTTAAAACTCGATGCCCATAAATTTTAATTTTCCTGGTTGTTTAGGAAAAGTACAACTAGCATTGGAAATTAAAATATCTCTTTTGGGACTTCATTAAATAGGATTCACACATCCTATTGTTGGGGTTTTGTTAATATCCCCAACAATAAATGCATAACCATAATATGAGAATTTATGAATATAAATCAAGTTGCTGGCACCTTGTTTTTGAAATTTAAATTTTTATTGATTTTTAAAAAAATAAATGACAGCGGGATTCATTACGATTCTTATTTCACGTATACAGCACAATTTTTCATATCTCTGATTGTATATAAAGTAAGTTGATTCCAATTTGTGTCTTCATACATGTACTTTGGATAATGATGTCCATCACATTCCACCATCCTTGCTAATCCCCTGTCCCCTCCCCACACTCCATTTATCTTTGTAGTTTGGTGGATTTCTATATTGAAAATATTTAATTCTTTTTTTTTCTCTTTAGTGTAGATTATCTTCTAGTGGGATCTATACTTTTATGTGTTTTCATGATGATGGTTATCTTTCACTTCCTTTAAGCATTTTTATAAGGTCAGTATGGTGATAATAAGTTCTCAGTTTTTGCTTGTTTTGAAAGGTAATTATTTCTAGTTCATTTCTGAAGGATAAATTTTCTGGGTATAGTATCTTGGTGTTTGTTTGTCTTCAGAACTTTGAATATGTCATCTCATTCCCTCTTGGACTACAAGGTTTCTGTTCAGAAATTTTCTGTTAGTCTAATTGGGATTCCCTTAAATAGACTTGGCACTTTTCTCTTGCTATTTTTAGAATTCTCTCTTTGTCTTGGACTTTTGACAATTTGACTCATATGCCACAAAAAGAACTTTCTTGAGTCATATCCATTTGGGACCCTTTGGGTGGGCTTCTTGGATCTGGATGTCCTGAATATTTGGAAAATTTTCTGCTGTTATTTCATTGAATAGGTTTTCTATGCCATTTCCTTGAAACTCTTATAATTCAGATATTTGTTTAATGGTGTCCCATAAATATTTGGAGTTTTATTTTGTTTTGATTTTTGTTTTTATATGTTACTGGGCTATTCCAAAAGACTTGTGTTCAAGTTCAGAAATTCTCCCCTCTGCTTGATGCAGTCTGATGTCATTTAGACTGTCATCTATCTATCTATATTTATTCTTATTAAGTTCTTTAATTCCAAGATTTATATTTGTTTTTTTTATGATCTCTATCTCTTTGCTAAATTTTTTTATTCTTATCATGAATCATTTTTCTAACTATAACAAATCGCCTTTATAATCTCTTATATCTCATTAAGTTTCCCCAGAATCATTCTTTCAAATTCTTTTCCAGGCATTCATTCAATTTCATGTCTTTTATGTCTGTCGCCAGAAAGTTACTGTTTTCTCCTGGAGCTGTCATAGTACCCTGTTTTTTCATTCTTCTTGTGTCGCTGCAATTGATATTTGCACATCTGGTGGATCAGTACTGGAAGAGTGAGTCACGCGTGGACAGGTGAGGTTGACATTGGTCTGAAAATGGCACTACATGGCAGAAACTTGGATCAGGGAGAATATTACATGAACAAGGTTCTTCTTTTCCATTATCTTTTCCCCTTGGTACAAAGACTGAGTTTAGACTGAGGCATTTGCACAATCGATGCAAGGCCCTTCTTCATTTCCTTTTTCACCAGACCATTTCTTCATTTCCCCCATTACATCTGCACTGTATTCTATCACTCTCCCTTGAATACTGCAGCTGAGTAGTAGCTGTTTATTCTTTGTGTGGGGGAAAAGAGTGGATCTTGTACCTCTAATCAGCCATCTTGCCAGAAGCTCCACAACTCAGTATTTTTAAATGGGCAATGTATGTGAACAGACATTTCACAAAGGAAGAGATAAATGGCCAATTACAACAGAAAAGATGATTAATACCATTAATCACTAGAGAAGTGGAAATTTAAACAACAGTGAAATACAATACATACCCACTACAATGGCCAAACTTGAAAAGACTGTCAAATGCTTGCAGGGAAGGAGAACAACTGAACTCTTTATATGGTGCTAGCAAGAATGGAAAATGGTACAGTCAATTTGGAAAAGTCTGGCAGGTTCTTTAAAAGTTAAACATACACTTCCCTGTGTCTACTAGAAGAAAAAGTAGGCCCAAATCTCCATCATGTCAGCTTAGGAAACAAATTCCTTAACAAGACTTCTAAAGGGCAAGAAGTAAAGTCAAGAATCAATACATGAGATGGTATCAAACTAAAAAGCTTCTCCACAGCAAAGGAAACAATCAAGAATGTGAAGAGAGGGGCTGGGGTCATAGCTCAGTGGTAGAGAGCTTGCCTTGCATGTGTGAGGCACCAGATTCAATTCTCAGTATCTCATATAAATAAAATAAAATAAAGGTCCATTGACAACAACAACAACAAAATTTTAAAAAAAAGAATGTGAAGAGAGAGCCTACAGAATGGGTGAAGATCTTTTTTGTCAACTGCACCTCAGATAGAGCATTAATCTCCAGGATACATAAAGAACTAAAAAAAACTTCACACGAAAAAAGCAAATAACCCAATCAATAAATGGGCAAAGGAACTGAACACTTCACAGAAGAAGAAATATGAATAGTCAACAAATATATTTAAAAATGTTCAACATCACTAGCAATTATAGAAACGCAAATTAAACTACATAGAGGTTTCATCTCACTCCAGTCAGAATGGCAATTATCAAGAATACAAGTAAAGGGGCTGGGGCTGAAACTCAGTGGAAATGCGCTTGCCTAGCATTTGTGAAGCACTGGGTTTGATCCTTAGCACTGCATAAAAATAAACAAATAAAATAAAGGCATTCAGTCTATATGCAACTACAAAAAATAATTTTTAAAAAAGAATACAAGTAAAATAAATATTGGGAGGATATGGGGAAAAATGTACATTCATATGTTGC